GTATATATTTCAAGATTTATATTTTTAAGTAATATATTATATGTATAACGTTTGTACTTATATGTATTATAACCTCAATTCCAATTCGAATTTCATTTAAAATAATTACCCATTAGGATGTCAAAAATGAAATTCGCTAATTCATCAGATGAATCTCCTACATGTTATCGAAGGAAAAGCGCGTCACTGCGTTTTCCCCTCTTTGCAACAGTCACTCGCCTTTATGCTTACAATGTTTCGAAGGAATTCATAAAGATATAAATAAATTTGTTAATTGCAGTAATCAGTTTTGTAATTGCTATGACGCGGCAATCGTTCATGTAGGTACCACCGGTGGCGCATCCCGTCCCATGGGACAGACGTGAATGTACCATCGGTGGTTCATCCCGTCGTGAATGCTTAACAGTGTAATGATGTAAAATACATTTTCTGCACTTATTTTACGATAAATAATTGCACTTGTTCATTTTTCCCAATGTTCAAGTCTATTCCTTCACTTCTATGGTGTCCTGGAACAGTCCATCCGTAATTCTAATTTTTAATAAAAGTTATAAACAAATTCTGACTAATCTACCGGATACAACGATCGATTCAATGCAAAAGAAGTATATTAAACTGGTAGTTGCTAAGTTGAAGCATACAATAATATTATTTAAGACTTCGATATAATTATAAACTGCATAAATAGCGTTTGGTGAGGCGAACTACTTACGACTTATTAACGGAAACGCAGAATTTCAACAGTGGCATTGGCCAAGGAACACACTAGCTTGCAACAAGGATAGAAAGAAAACGTTTCCTATTGGCTGGCGGGCACCTAAGCCCCACTCCCACAGGCTAAATCCAGTCGGTCAGGGAAAAATCATTAATAACTCAATAATTACGATGAATTTCTAAACTTGTCGAATTGAAGAATCAAGTGTAGACCTTCGGCAACTTTCACATATACTTTTTAGTGCACTAAACCTTCCCGATAATTAGTTATTAACAATTTTCGTACGTGTTGTCAGGAACGATACGACAAGTCGCGACGGTCCCTTCTGGTTTTTCATTCATTTCATTGCGTAATAACAATTTTCTGTACAGGTTGCAGTATGCATTTGAAACGTAAGTTACTTAGTATCTTTGGCTACATTCTCGTATCATTTTTATTGAGATATCTCTTGTGGTTTGATAGTTATTTAACATTCTTTAGGTGAGTAATATATCCGTCGTATTCATTAATACGTGAAATACGTGATTAACTACTTATACAGTTTTAAGCAAGCAGAATGTAGAACGCAGTTGACTAAACTCCCATATAATGTTTAAGTATTCTTAAACTAAACCGAATATGTTAATGAAAATTACACGAGAATGCAGCTAAGGAACTCGTCTTTCACATGTGTATAGTTATTTGCATGAGAATTTAGTAGAAAGCTATGAAATTAGTGAACTACAGTAAAAGTATGCGGTAGCGTTCCCGACATCTCGTATTGTAATAGTTAATAACTATTTAACGAAGGGGCCTAGCACACTAAAAAGTATATGTGAAAGTTGCCGAGGGTCCACACTTGATTCTTCATTCCGAAAAGTTCGTAAAATCATCGTAATTATTGAGTTATTCGTGATTTTTCCCTGACCGACTTAATTTTATATCCGAAGGGCGGAACATAATGGCGCTCGGACCAATAGAAAACGTTTCTCCCTATCCTTCTCGCACACAGTTGCGTTCCTTGTCTAATACCTCTGTTCACATCCTGTGTTCCTATTAGAAATTTGTAATTTTCGACAAAAACATGAAATCGCGTAGGTTTCACTAACTTTTCATCCGGAGACAACAATATCTGGCAGAAAGCTGGTGAAAGAGATCGTTTCCGCTAAAAAAAAAAACCGGCGGAAGGCGTATGAGCGCGCGCGGGCAATATCCTGCAGCACCTCCTGTTTTATGTTACCGGTTGCAGGTACCATGGGTGCAGCGTTAAGTCAAACGGGAACCACCCACGGTGTCAAGACGGAAAGTGATAAGCAAGAGTCGAGAAGAAAAGTACATTATATTTGCATATTTTCTGAAATAATGATTAAGAAGTTATTGTTATAAAATATATTCAGGTTTCTGTGAAATTACTCGTGCGGTAAAGAACACCGTACGAAGGTAGAATTAATCCTCTATCTAATTAAATCCTATTTAAGTTGATTAGGTAGATCACGTCACGTAGCAATCCGCTACGTCAGAAGCGAAACTAGCGCCATTGGTGAGGTGAACTACGACTTATTAACGGAAACGCAGAATTTCAACGGCATTAGACAAGGAACGCACTAGTGTGGGACAAGGATAGAGCGAGAACGTTTTCCTATTGGCTGGCGGGCACCTAAGCCCGCTGGCTAAATCCAGTCGGTCAGGGAAAAATCATTAATAGCTCGATAATTACGATAATTTTGTCAACTTCTGGAATTGAAGAATCAAACGTGGACCTTTAGCAAATGTCTCATATCGATTTTAAAGCACCAAACACTTTCGATAATTAGTTATTAAGCAATTTTAGTACGCGATGTCGGGAACGATACCGCGTAAATATTTTTACGGTTCGTCAATAATTTCATAGAGGTCTACTAAATTCTAACGCAACTACTTAGCTATATGCCTGTGAAAGGTAACTCCTTTGGCTATATTCCCGTACAATTACAATTATTTACCATTATTTGGGAGAGTATTGTATCCGTCTCGTTCAACCGTAACACATTTTCATTATTTAAACGGAAACGCATGATTAATTACTCACTTTCAACATGTAGCAAATAGAATGGACTTTTATTAGTATTCTGCAATTAGTTTGGTATCTGTAAATGGTGTGGTTGATTAGATATTAGCAATTAGTGAGCTAAAAAGTATATGTGAAAGTTTCTGAAAATCCACGCTTCATTCTTCAATACTAAAAGTTGGTAAAATCATCGTAATTATTGAGTTATTAATGATCTTTCCCTGGTCAATTTAATTTTATATCCGGAATGGGGAACGTAATGGCGCTCGGACCAATAGGAAACGTTTCTCTCTATCCCTCTTGCACACTAGTGCGTTCCTTGTCTAATACCTCTGTTCACATCCTGTGTTCCTATTAAAAATTCATAATTTTCGACGAAAACATGAAATCGCGTAGGTTTCACTAACTTTTTATCCGGCGACAACAATATCAGGCAGAAAACTGGAGACAAGAATTCGTTTTCGGTGAAGAAGGTCCAGCGAAAAGCGTAGCTACTTATACATCAAATCGGCCAGGGAAAAGTCGTTACTAACTCAATAATTACGATGGTTTTGCGAACTTTTAGTATTGAAGAATGAAGCGTGGATTTTCAGAAGCTTTCACATATACTTTTTAGCTCACTAAATCCCTTCGATAATAAGTTATTAACAATTTTAGCACCCGATCTCGGGAACGATATCGCATGAATTTATGGTTTTTCAATAATTTCATAGCTTTCTACTGAATTCTCGTTCAGCTAACTACATGCCTGTGAGAGGTAACTGCTTTGGCCTTATTCCCGTGCAATTTTAATTAACATATCCCTTATGGATCGATAGTTATTTATCATTATTTGGGAGAGAATTGTATCCGTCTCGTTCAATCGTAACACATTTTCATTATTTAAACGGAAACGCATGATTAATTACTCACTTTCAACATGTAGCATATAGAATGGACTTTTATTAGTATTCTGCAATTAGTTTGGTATCTGTAAATGGTGTGGTTGATCAGATATTAGCATTTATTTATCACAGTTGATTATACCCGAGTTGGGTGAAAGGAGACTCTCCCATATAAATTTTAATTACTCTTAAACTAGACCGAGTATCTTGATAAAAATTATATGAGAATGCAGCTAAAGGAGCTGCCTTTCATACGCATCTAGCTAGTTGCACGAGAATTTAGTGAAAAGCAATGGAATCATTGAAAAACCATAAAGCTAGTTGACGGTATGCGGTATCGTTCACGGCATCACGTACTAAAATTGTGAATAACTAATTATCGAAGGGATTTAGTGAGCTAAAAAGTATATGTGAAAGTTTCTGAAAATCCACGCTTCATTCTTCAATACTAAAAGTTGGTAAAATCATCGTAATTATTGAGTTATTAATGATCTTTCCCTGGTCAATTTAATTTTATATCCGGAATGGGGAACGTAATGGCGCTCGGACCAATAGGAAACGTTTCTCTCTATCCCTCTTGCACACTAGTGCGTTCCTTGTCTAATACCTCTGTTCACATCCTGTGTTCCTATTAAAAATTCATAATTTTCGACGAAAACATGAAATCGCGTAGGTTTCACTAACTTTTTATCCGGCGACAACAATATCAGGCAGAAAACTGGAGACAAGAATTCGTTTTCGGTGAAGAAGGTCCAGCGAAAAGCGTAGCTACTTATACATCAAATCGGCCAGGGAAAAGTCGTTACTAACTCAATAATTACGATGGTTTTGCGAACTTTTAGTATTGAAGAATGAAGCGTGGATTTTCAGAAGCTTTCACATATACTTTTTAGCTCACTAAATCCCTTCGATAATAAGTTATTAACAATTTTAGCACCCGATCTCGGGAACGATATCGCATGAATTTATGGTTTTTCAATAATTTCATAGCTTTCTACTGAATTCTCGTTCAGCTAACTATTGTACATGCCTGTGAGAGGTAACTGCTTTGGCCTTATTCCCGTGCAATTTTAATTAACATATCCCTTATGGATCGATAGTTATTTATCATTATTTGGGAGAGAATTGTATCCGTCTCGTTCAATCGTAACACATTTTCATTATTTAAACGGAAACGCATGATTAATTACTCACTTTCAACATGTAGCATATAGAATGGACTTTTATTAGTATTCTGCAATTAGTTTGGTATCTGTAAATGGTGTGGTTGATCAGATATTAGCATTTATTTATCACAGTTGATTATACCCGAGTTGGGTGAAAGGAGACTCTCCCATATAAATTTTAATTACTCTTAAACTAGACCGAGTATCTTGATAAAAATTATATGAGAATGCAGCTAAAGGAGCTGCCTTTCATACGCATCTAGCTAGTTGCACGAGAATTTAGTGAAAAGCAATGGAATCATTGAAAAACCATAAAGCTAGTTGACGGTATGCGGTATCGTTCACGGCATCACGTACTAAAATTGTGAATAACTAATTATCGAAGGGATTTAGTGAGCTAAAAAGTATATGTGAAAGTTTCTGAAAATCCACGCTTCATTCTTCAATACTAAAAGTTGGTAAAATCATCGTAATTATTGAGTTATTAATGATCTTTCCCTGGTCAATTTAATTTTATATCCGGAATGGGGAACGTAATGGCGCTCGGACCAATAGGAAACGTTTCTCTCTATCCCTCTTGCACACTAGTGCGTTCCTTGTCTAATACCTCTGTTCACATCCTGTGTTCCTATTAAAAATTCATAATTTTCGACGAAAACATGAAATCGCGTAGGTTTCACTAACTTTTTATCCGGCGACAACAATATCAGGCAGAAAACTGGAGAAAAGAATTCGTTTTCGGTGAAGAAGGTCCAGCGAAAAGCGTAGCTACTTATACATCAAATCGGCCAGGGAAAAGTCGTTACTAACTCAATAATTACGATGGTTTTGCGAACTTTTAGTATTGAAGAATGAAGCGTGGATTTTCAGAAGCTTTCACATATACTTTTTAGCTCACTAAATCCCTTCGATAATAAGTTATTAACAATTTTAGCACCCGATCTCGGGAACGATATCGCATGAATTTATGGTTTTTCAATAATTTCATAGCTTTCTACTGAATTCTCGTTCAGCTAACTACATGCCTGTGAGAGGTAACTGCTTTGGCCTTATTCCCGTGCAATTTTAATTAACATATCCCTTATGGATCGATAGTTATTTATCATTATTTGGGAGAGAATTGTATCCGTCTCGTTCAATCGTAACACATTTTCATTATTTAAACGGAAACGCATGATTAATTACTCACTTTCAACATGTAGCATATAGAATGGACTTTTATTAGTATTGTGCAATTAGTTTGGTATCTGTAAATGGTGTGGTTGATCAGATATTAGCATTTATTTATCACAGTTGATTATACCCGAGTTGGGTGAAAGGAGACTCTCCCATATAAATTTTAATTACTCTTAAACTAGACCGAGTATCTTGATAAAAATTATATGAGAATGCAGCTAAAGGAGCTGCCTTTCATACGCATCTAGCTAGTTGCACGAGAATTTAGTGAAAAGCAATGGAATTATTGAAAAACCATAAAGCTAGTTGACGGTATGCGGTATCGTTCCCGGCATCACGTACTTAAATTGTGAATAACTAATTATCGAAGGGATTTAGTGAGCGAAGAAGTATATGTGAAAGTTTCTGAAAATCCACGCTTCATTCTTCAATACTAAAAGTTGGTAAAATCATCGTAATTATTGAGTTATTAATGATCTTTCCCTGGTCAATTTAATTTTATGTCCGGGCGGGCGGAACATAATGGCGCTCGGACCAATAGGAAACGGTTCTCTCTATCCTTCTCGCACACTAGCGTGTTCCTTGTCTAATACCTCTGTTCACATCCTGTGTTCCTATTAAAAAATCGTAATTTGCGACAACAAACACGAGATGACGAAACTAACGAGTTCGCCCACCATTTTCTTTCTATTTTTGTCGAAGACACGGCACTATTGCTATCCTTGTGTTCCCCCGTTCCTTTCCTTGTCTAACTCATTTCTCTAGCCCTATCCTCGTCTACTCGTATTCCTTTCCTCGTCTTACTCGTTTTTGTATTGCTAAATAGTATGTATGTACCTCAACTGTCGTTGGAAGCACGACTATAAAATACATATATTGGATTGCGTGGGTAGAACTGTCCACGAATCATCTACTGATAAACAATTACGTTACTTTCTTTTTTGTAATTTTGTAGTAATTTCATATTTATTTGCAAAACCAGTGATAATATTGTAATCTTATTCTATTCTAAATCGGTGAGGTTGGGAGCGGCACGAAAATAGTAAGGGCCTTCTCGACCATCCTGCCGAGGATACATAGTCCCATAAGATATTATGTCTATCCTGTACATTGCCTGTGCCTCTGTCTGTGCTAGCAGAGACTAACGGTCTACACCAGATGAGGCAAAGTGTCGTTCGCTTCAACAGACTTGTGCAGTTGCTGAAAGATGGCGGTAGCTACGGTATCAGTGCTCGACACCGATACCTGCTCCGTTTACTAATCGATCATTCCGGGTGTCGGGAGTCGGTGCAAGTAGGTGCGAGTTGGTGTGCCTATTTGAGAGGACGCATACTGCACAAGGACACTTGGGAGTAAAAGAAGTGTTTCTAAGATATGCAGGTGTGTGAAAATAACTGTTGCTCCTGTATAAGCGAGCCGTGATACAGGTGTATTAGTACAAGATGATAGCTGGCATTGTGTCGTGAAAAATGTCGAGAACCAACAGCGGTGAGTTGTCGGAACGAAACACCATTTGAAACGTCCAACGAAATCTTCGTTTTGTTGCTGCACCGCGCCAAGAGTGCTTACGAATATGATGAGATAACAAACGCAGAATGAAGTACAGTGGCAGTAACCTTCTCGGTTATGCACTTTACGCGTTTATTCTATTTTTTAACGGTGAGTTTCATCTCCTATTTTTCTTTGCTTTCATCTTCTTTTCCTCCTCCTCCTCCTCCTCCGCCTCCTCCTCTTCTTCTTCTTTTATGCTTTCCTTTCAAATTCTTCTCCGCTTGTCCCCTTCTCCCTCCTTTTCGCAGTCGATTCTTTTACATTCTTCTTCCTGATTCTAATCTTTTACTCTATACAGATAAAATGAAAAAGACTTGTCTTTAAAGCTACGCGCCTAAAATTCCTAAAATCCTGCAAAACTTTATTTATCGTTTACAAAAAGACACATTCTTACGATACGTTATTTTCAATTTTTTACCATTCTCCATCTGTACAATGCTACCCGTGCACATTTCTTTTTTTCTATTTCTCTCTGTCAGATGGCGGCAATTTTTAACGAAAATTATTCACCACTTCGTAATGGACCAATTGACGTAACGTGCGTATGACGCATGTATTGCCGCTCACCTGCTTCCTCGTTCACTTGATAGAATATGTGCGTGCGCGCGTCACTTTTTATTAGTATCATACACAAAGATTCATTGCACAGAGTGTGCTATTAAATATATTTACAAGCAGAAATATCTCGATGTTATTACTTATATTCGATCTATGTACAACGATAAATCGTGTTACGCGACAATGAAAAACGAAAAATTTCATCAGACATTAGAGCAACGTCAATTATGCTTTCAATTGTAAATTTGATCTTGTGATTTCAATCGAATCATCTCAAACAGATAGATCACCTAAAGAAATAAACGAACCAGTGGCAGATTTTACATGAATAGTTTTATCCATATTTTCCAGTTACTCATGCAGAAAGTGGTGTTACTTGTAAAGATCACCAAGGACAATCTTACGAGAATGGTCTTTACTACATTCTTGGTCCAGAACCCTGCACGTTGTGCGTATGCAATAATGGCAATCCAAAATGGTGTAAAGCATTTGTGTGCAGAGCAAGCAGCAAGTACGCAGAGGTATTTCAGCTGCTAAACTAACTGTTTCGCTTTGCATATATATATATATATATATGTACATGTAACATTGTTCTTCCATACTCAAATATAAAAGTTGATTTTTACGTTCAATAGGAAGATTGTAAATCTTCTCGGCATGGGGATACCTGTTGCCAGTATATTTGCTTGGCTGATACATTGTCATCTATATCAAATGATAAAACTGATGGGATCGGTGGTAATACCACAGATGCTACTACCAATTACGATATAGGACTGCGATCTGTCGCTAGTTTTGTGACAGCTGTGTTGTCCCTGAGTTTGCTATTTTTTTTAATACATCGCTTGCGCCAAAGAAAAATAAGAGGTATTTCACTTTTGCAATGTTTTTTTATTATTTTAAGACTGTAATACAAAAATGTTGATTATTTTTTGGTGTAAGTTTGCGTGGCAGGAAGACAGAACAGACAGTTGGCAGAGGACCAAAGAAATTTAGGTAACATGGGATACTTGGAACGAGATGGATTGTCACATGGTGTTCCTATGGATGACATTCCATGCGGAGCTAATTATCCATTATGGAAGCCACCCAGCAATTACTTTCCACGTGGCGAGGCTCCACCGCCTTATGAAGAAGCGGTAGCGGCAGCACGAGCGGAGCAAGCTCTTCTATCGATGAACCCACAAGCGCTGCCGCAACTAAATTTTCCAAATAATTATTTGCCAAACGCTAATAGTCGTACAAGTATATCGTTAGTTGGGAGCACGCAAAGTGGCATAAACGGCAATTCGTCAACGTTAATTTGCGATACTGCGGGTATAACAGATCAAAGTGGCTTAATCTCAACACCGAGTAGACCAATTTCAAATCCGAACATATATGCTAGTTATCGACAAACGAATCAAAATGAAACGTTACCTCCAGGTGTTAGTGTAGGAACTTCTACGACGAGTTTCACTATGGGAACAAGCACTTACGAGAATTTACCTACACCCATTGGAATTCCAAGCTACGCTAATCAGCGTCCAGATGTAACTGCCCAACCTGTGCAGACTAATTTACAACCTAATATTCTAAAAAGTTATCAAACACATACCACTCTTCCTCGTCAAACCGGCGCGTTCACGATATCTGCAACTTTATCAAATTCCAGTGTTACTGCACATCGTACAATACCTAGGACTTTAACAACGCGTACTGGTACAAAATTACAAGATATTATAAATGACTGTAATCAAAAAGAATTTTTACGACCACCCACGATGATGAGCGACATTGCCACGCCGAATATACCACATTCTACTCTGCAAAATGTCACGACTAAATTAGAGAATACTAGGGAAAATCCAAATCCAGCTACATTTTACCAAGATCTACAAATACAGCCTCCCCCTCCTGCATCTTCCTCTGGATTGCAGCAAACCGAGAGACCACAGTTGGATCATCAAATGGAAAAGTCCCATGAATTTAAGGTAGTGTAGTAAAGAAAATGTTCCGTTGATATCGGGAGTAAACACTGAATATGTGTCGCAGAAAATTCCACGCGATCTTTTAACATGTACAGCGGCGTTACACTAATAACGAGTTTTGCGCGTTCCAGCAGCCACCACTGAACGTAGCCAATGGAATTAACGAAGAAGGAAGTTTCGAATCAGTAGCATGCACTTGTAGCATGCAAGCTCTTCCTACTCTCCATGACGATACCGATGATTACAGGAGCGAATGTGAAAATTGTAAAAGCGCAACAGGTTCTCGTTATTACTTGGATAACGAAGACGAATTAGTTACTTCTCCTCACGAAACTATGACGTTACATAGAAGACCGGACGAAACAGCTTCGAATGCTACCCCTCAGTATTACAGAACTTCACTTACACTGCCTATAAGCACCCGTCAACGAACAAGGTAATTAAAAGAACATTAACATGAAAATAAAACATATCCTCCTTTTTTTTTCTCTCGTTAATATCCGATCGATAACGGATTCAATAACGGATTTGACGTTACTCTAGCATTGTCACAATCACATCTATCAGGGCAAATCTAACACCCTTCGTTTTTCTTTTCTCCTTTCCTTTTACCGTAAATTTCTACTTCATTATCTACTGCTTATTTGAAATGTACTTGTGCGAGAGTAAAAAGACTAAAGCAAACAAAACGGATGCAATATCTTAGAAGCTTTTCAAATTACAATTAGAATTGTTTACATTTAGGAGCACCGGCGTTCGAGAAAATTGGACAAGAAAATTCAACACCATGCCACAAAGTTCCACAGAATCTTCAGATGAAAATTAATCACGAGCATATGTTTCCCACGCACTGTATAACTATTAAAATGTTTTACGATACATTATCATCGATGAAAATTCACTATCACGGCACATAAACGATGCGATCACATTTTATTGCGTTGCAGGCAACAGTATGATATTGTTGTTAATAGAATCCGGTATTACAGTGAAGCATTTTCTATCTTGTTGACTGTATGTAAACTGTTCGCATACTCGAACTATGTATGATTTACGAGAAAGATGAGTCACACTTTTGCTTTCACAGTTTTTCCTTACATGTTATTAAACTGTGGGAGCAAAGTTTAGGTATACCTAATAAATAGCAACTTACAATTTCAATAAGTTCACGAATGAACGAACACTAAGGAAGAAAATATAGCTGTACAACATCTTTAGAATTTTTTTAACTATGTTCGATGCATATCATTCGTTAAATGTTAATGGAAAATGTTGAAAATGCAATTTTTATCGCTTTATCTCCAATGGAGTCGCGTCGAGTACCGAAACTTGTTATTCACATTGTCAGAAGCAGTGACGCAATAAAACCTAAAGAACAGGTTGATTCACACTATACGGTTCACACAATTATAGGCATGCTGCTCTCTTATCGTTTCATTATCAATTGTTGATCTCAGAAATTATTATTCAATAAGATAACAACCGGATGAATATGAACTGGAATATCAGAGAGAGAAAGTTGCAGAGAAATCGATATCTTTTTCATTTCAATTTATCACAATCTGTAATATTGTTACAAATCGTTCTTCTGTCGGCATTTATACGATTGTTCATTTTTACATCTGGTTTTTATAGTATCATTTATCTACATACATACATACGTACATATGTATGTACCACTTATATGTATATTAAGTTATATCACTCAAATATAGTAGACGTTGGCTTCGTGAAAAGCGTTTTGCACAAACTTTCTATTCTAATACTCTTTCGCAAAAACAGTTCAAAATTATACACCGTGCCGTGCACAAATATCTACATTTTGAAATCTTTTTAAAAATACATATCAGCATTGAGTACAATCACACAATTATATTAACATTACAAAAAGAAATTCACCTCTAAATATAAATGTTCTGGTTTCAATATTTCTTTTCCATACAATTATTATATTTGCACTTTTTCGTTTCATGTGCAACGTACGAGATACATTCGGCGATATGTTACATACATACATACATACATACATACATACATACATAATAGAAATATTTTTGTGGTTTGTGTAGTTGAATGAAAGAGTTCGTTGGTTCGAATAGTGTGAAACGACCTAAATGCGTGTATATTCACGCATAATGTTATGCTTTTTTTACCAATCATGCAAACGTTGATTCATTTTCTTTACATTTCTTTACGTGCCCGCGTTCGCGCGCGCTCGCGTGCCTGTGCGTTGCACGCAGACACAAAATGTAACGTCGTCTTAAAACATAAATTAAGACTCAGGAAAATTATACCTTTTTCTTTCTATGTGAGATACTCTTTTCGCGGTCCATTTTTCCTCCAGATTTTTAATGAAAAAATTGGTCGTAGTTATCCATATTCTAGATACGAACGATTTACTCGCATTATATGTATATCGCGAAAATTTCTACCGACTGATTTTAACACCCTGATATAAGGATGAACATTTTTAAGTCTATACAATTATTATATTCCGTACGGTGAAAGAAAAGAAGAAAAAAACGTCTCAACGTTGGGATTGCTTGTGATAACATACATACATACATATGTATATACTTTATATGCTCCGGAAATACAGCAAGTGAAATGATCATTGTCTCCGAGTAATTGGTGATTAATGATTTTTATGGTACATAACGAAAAATGGGATCACGCGCAATTTTTCAATAATTTCAATGTTTGCTTATCTATATTGGTAGAATCTAAGAATTCGACTGATCGATCATATTCGATGATATCGAAATACATCTCTCTGTTTCACCCGAGTCACAACTATGATATACATATGTATGTTCGCTAAATTCCTTCTTACAAATGCCTTTATTTACACTTTTTTCTTGCTTTTTTACCTCGTTGCAAACATTCTACAAACGTAAATCCTAGGATGAATCGTTATTAACAATATGCTTAATAATGATGACACAAGACTAATCTGAGTTTTAATCTCACCACCGTTTTATTATACATATACATGCATATGTACAGGTTTTACAATTCTTTCGATTGTAACAAAAATATCATTATTTGTAAACTAAAATTACTTTACGCAAATGTTTGTATGCAATACAATTATACTTAGATGTTTATTCCTTTGTACGAGAGCTTATATTATTTATACGATTACTATTCGTATGTTCCAAAGGTTATAAATGCGCAAAAGTAGTACGTTGAAAAATGAACGATCAGCTGTTGCTAATGTTGATTTCCTTTAATAATCGAATCGTTGCATATGTATATTCGCTACTTTACGTCAATCGGACATACCTATATATATGTAGACGCGCGCGCGCACGCACGCACGCACGCACACACACACCACACCACACCACACCACACCACACCACACATACATACATACACAGGGTACCTTACTTATATCATTCTTGCTGCTATCGAAAAAGACGTAAGAGAAAAATGTGTGCAACTATTATTATAATTAAGTAAATAAGTGGACAAGTTGCACGGTTCAAAAAGGCGAATGTGATAATGGTGAAAAATCCTCCCGAAAGATTAAATAGGTAAATAAGATTATTTTATCGTTTGAGTACAGCGGAGGCGGAGTTACACATTTCAGTTGAAACGGAATAAAAAGCGAATCTACCGATTCTACTATAATAAGTTTCGAAAACGTTTCGTGTTGTCTCAATCTATTGTAATTAGTAAAGAAAGCAAGATGGTTAGTTTATTAATTGACGAAGAATATTGAAATAACGATGAGCAAATGATATCGTTTCAACGAACCATGCAACTTCCCCTTTCAGTCAGTTACGTACATATGTAAGTACTTACATATGTAGATACCGTTTCACGGTTTCACTAGCAGTGAAAACATCATCATGATCGTAAAACCAGGCATACACGTATACATAGTTTCTTTAGCACGAATTTCGCACTTTCAGTGAATAATGCGTATCGAATGTAAGATAATTATTTCGCAAGACATTCGTAATTCTCGTTCTCGTTTTCAATACGAATATTCAACTGATCTAATTGATTCAAAAAGTAAAAACTCTTTGATTCGATTCTCGCAATTAGTTTTAGTTCACGTGGACTAACTACCAAGGACTAAATGTATCGATATTTAACTTTCCATTAAACTGTTTACAAAAGGCAAGTAACAACAAAACAAAAGAAAAAAGAAAGAGAAAGAAACCGATAACGTTTTATTGCGCTTGTCACAATACCAAGGATTTTCATATACATATATTACCATGAATTTACGATAACACAATGTTTCTGTGTTAAAAAAAAACTATACTCTCTATAGTATATGTATACATACATACGTATGATATTTGTTACATGTATATGGAACGAAGATCTAATTCATTAACAATATTCTTATGATAATTCGCGTTAAATGAATTACGTGTATTTTCTTTACTATAATTATCATCGCAAACGTTTTCGCATACTTGATCGTAATCTTAGGTACATGTATATCATATAACTTACAATCCAATACCAATTTTTGATATTTATCATTTTTCCTGTACAAAGTATATTTTCATCATTCCGCACAAACATTTTTGCTTTTGCAAAGTTTCACATCGATTTGTTTTAATTAAGATACATCCAGCTGATAGGATCCACCACCGTATGCATATGTACATACGTACGTAAGTATGTATGTACATATACGGAAGAAAGTTAAGCATACAGCTATCTCGTTTGTAGAATACATAATGATTTATGGTTACCAGAAGTTCAATTAATTATACCTAAAATCATTGATAATACCACAGAACGAAATGAAAATTTGGATTAATTTCGGAAAGTACGAAACGAATGTCAATCGATAGAGTTATATACATATACAATCGAAATATTGGAAGTAATTGGTAAATCACAAAAAATAAACAATGATGCACATCGAACTATTACATTTACGCGAAGTTATGAATTATCTCTGGTAATTTCCAATTACTCGCGTAATTAAGTAAAAAAAGGAAAAGCGGAAAAAAAAGAATGAGAAAGCGTGAAACGTAACGTTTTAAAACAATCATTTGAGTATGAAGTATGCTTTGCGGAAAAAATATTATGAATTTTCTATGTATAACAATTAACATAGGTAGCTGTTGAATTTTTTTTAAATGAATCTTGCGTCGATACGGAAATATGAATAAAAAAAAGACATTACACGAAGTTGTAACTAAAAGAACGTAGTGATGACAACAGAATAGGCGCGGTTGTAAAGCCGGCATCTTGCCATCTCGCATGTACTTACTGTAATAAGCGCTGTCGTAGAAAGCGACGCTGGTAAAATGAACATTTTAAGGAAACATCAATCTCTAAATATGTAGGTAGTACATGAAGCGTGTAAGCCGTAAGCGATACACAGGCATATGTAAATATATACTACAATACTTCCAACTATAAGCAGATTCTGTGAAAATCGGAATCTCTTCCTATGATAATCGACGCATTTCGTGTGTTCATTAAACTCGACTATATTCCATTCTTGAAAGAAATGTGTTCATTATATAATAAATCTCTTTCTATATGCATACAATCGTTCGACGAAAAAAAGGTACAACAAGCTGGACTTCAAATGAATTTGAAAAAACGTTCAAGACTCTCGCGTAGTTCAAACGGTACAAAAACTTGAATTACTTAGTTGTTCGTATAGTGATCGAAAATATTGTAATATATTTATCGGAGTAGTTTTAGAATAAAATCTTTATTGCGCTTACTTGGGTAAGTGAAATATTATAAATTGATATAAGTTGTATTAGAACATTTATGTCAGTAGGCTATCGTTTGATTGTAATAAATCAATACTTTACATAAGCTTCTCGCTCATTTCATTCAACTAATTACTTTTCCATTAATTCATTTTTTTTTTTTTTTACCATCGTCATACTTCTCATGGTGCATCGTTGATGCACGACTTTCGATACGGATATAAGGTAAATATTTCATAACACAGTAACATAATTTAATATGAAATTTCACATGCCCTTATCCTAGTTCTTCTCCTTCCCTTCTTTCTCTAATGTTTTACCGTTATGTAAACGCCTGTGTAAGTGTTATTCATATTTTAGTATAAAATAACACACAACGCACACGACACGCGCACGCACACAGTAATAAAGAGGGGATGCAAAAGAAGCATGCGCATATGCGCGCGAATTTGAAAATCCTATATACATGAATAGTACGAACACGGACTTTTTCACGTGTGCAAAGCAATGTCCTGAAAGGACAGTTTAATAGTGCTAAAGTTCACATCGGAAACTGTGAATATTTCTTTAAGAAGTTTATCCAACAGAACTTTTAATACTTAACTTTCATTCGTTATAGGTATTTCTTCCATTCAACTGTGATATTTAATTTCTTTCATTCGAATGTAACAATTGAACGAGAAATACACTACAAAGAAGTATGTACCATATACGAACAGCTTTTAAGTTACCATACGGAACACGCGCACGCGCGCGTGCGTATACACCTAACCTACAGAATGTATCTTTTCGTTGAGATATATTTGGAATTCACGAACTAAACGTACATATTTAACGATCGATCAACTATTTAGTTTTGCACATTAAATATTTTTCGTGATATAAAAAATAAGAAAGTTTCACCTTGTTTAAGAAAAGAAATGTTTTATTTAGTTTGTTAATAATTAAGCCTCTGTGCACGAAAAATGTTTTCATGTGTGTTCAACGAATGGAAGCGAAAGAATGAAAACGTAGGGGTAACGTATGACTAAGAATTAATAAATAAAATTCAAGTTTCGACGAGTGAGAGAAAATGAAAAAGTAAAAACGTAAAACTATAACTGAATACAACAATGAGACATTGATGCGCAATCGACTAATTTAATCAGACGCCATCTCGTGCTACATAAAGGTATCACTTAAAATCAGTAGTTTTCCAGTTCTGATTCGGCATTCGCTTAAAACGCAATCAAGTACACCAAGAATTGTGACGGATTACGATCCATTACGATAGTCAGAAATAGGCAAGAGGAGCAAAGAGGACACGTAAAAGATGGCGGAAGCCGTTGTAGACGGGACTCCAATGTCCCGATTTTTTTGTCACAAATGCAGTATCGAAATTGAACGTTTATTACCAGTAAGTATGTTTATTCATTTCTTTTTTTAAGAATCTTACAGTAAATACAATATTCTTTATAAAAGCTTCAAGTTTTTGTCTCGATCTGTCAATCGGTATCACGCGTGAAACCCCCGTTCTTTCGTACCGTATAGAAAATTAATCATATATGTCTTACTATTTTTTCAAATTACTTTATACATTCTTGCTTTCACCGTTATATGGCCATATTAAAATCAATTAACACCTGTATGTTATAAAAAATAACATTGTTTTGATGTGAAATTCATCTATACTGAGGAATATATATGTGTATATTTTAAATGCTACTATCTTCACTTTCCTTAGCTTCTTTCTCATTTTATTATTTACTTTTTATCAAATCTATTTTTTCATCACTGATTTCTACAAAAAATTATTAATAATCTGATATGTAATTTCAATTTTGAACAACAATATATATATATATCGCTTTAACCATGCAACAATTTTCTACAAGATAAAGATTAAAATGATTACTGTTTATATTGATTAATTAAATCTGTAGGTTTCTTTTTCTCAGATATACAAAGATTAGCAATTTAACACATTTCTCCATATTTATGATTTAACGTGTGATTCGGTTCTACTTTAGGATTACACGTGTCCAAGATGCGCGAGTGGCTTTATAGAAGAATTAGAAAGCGATAACAATGACATGGTTATTCCTGGTACTGGAATACATATTAGTACTGACTCAGATGATAGTAGATTATTGGATGAGGTGAGTAACAGATTTGGAGATTTATACATTTGTATTTTGTACCTTTGTTATATGTACTCCTATATGTACTTTGCTACTGTTTCTTCATTGTATATTTCTTACGCAGTTTTGGCAACGTTACATAGAAATTGAGATTGATCCACCTAATAGAAATAATGGACCAACACGATATCGAATGACACCTCATGCTCGAGATAATCTAAATCGCAGGCCTACCAGGTATGTCACTTGTAGCTTTCTCAAATTCTTTTTATTTCCAAATATACTTACATGACTATTTCCATTGCATATTTTTCTACCAAACACAGCAGGCAAGAAGACGTGGATGTGCAAAATTTCATGCGAGACTTTGCACGTACTTTCACAGATGTAGATGTAGGTCAAACGGTGACACAAGTTGGACAATTACCTGTGTATGTACAGTATTAACTTTTTTTATGCATTTATTATTATTTATAGAAATGTATGTATGAGCATGTGTGTATGTGGTTGTCTTAGCTCAAGCCTATACATATTCTGTAAGGAATATCAGAAATGAATTGGGATAATATTGATAAAAGAATTATATACTTAAATTTTATGTCGTTTCATTTTACTTTGTGCATTCTGTTGAGATGAAATATTATTCTGAGTGAATTGAAGAGCAATTTGCGTATCTTTCTTCAACACTTATTCCTTAATAGTACATTAATGTCAATAAAAGACCAGTTCGTTAGTTCCGTGCGTAATATGCTTAAAATAGCATGCAAATAGACAAATTAACTTTCTATGAACGTGTGTGTGTGTGTGTGTATCTGTACATTAATATAGTTACGGTAGTATAAAATTTGACTTATTTCACATAAATATTCATATACTTACTATCTTAGAGACTGGAAATAATTAAATGAAAACAGCTGCATTTTATAAATGTGTTGCACAGAAGGAAAATAATATTAATAAGCTTAATGACATTTTTCAATTATAATAACAATTCTGTTTCTGCAATTGTATAATTGAGCTATATTGTTACATAGTAATCCTGGTTTGTTCTCTATCGAATTAACTTTATTCATATTGAATAATTCTAAAATATATTAAACTCTTTCCATGTTAGTTTGAATTCGACGAGTAGTCAGAAACATTGACGAAAAGTCATTTTCGTTTTCTTATATTTTATTAATATATGTGTGCATTTACGAAATGCAGAACAATGCTACAAGGAGGCTTGTAGCACTAAAAGGCTTGTTCACCCAGGATAGAAGTCATTGTTTAATTTAATATTTGATATCACTAAAGTAAAACACAATAATGTAGATTCAATATTAGACTGTTCTTGGGAAATCCTGGAGATTATGTTTGGGGTCAGGATGGCTTAGATGCGATTGTTACACAATTTTTAAACCATGTGGATGGAGCTGGACCGCCACCTTTACCAAGAAAACAAATCGATGAAATACCAACAACAACTGTGGCTCAAGATCATGTTGGTGAGTATATCATGTATATTATAATTCACAAACTAGGAAATGGAACCAAGTTTAAACAAAACATTACATTATTTAATCATACAGATAGAAAACTTCAATGTTCCGTGTGTTGGGAAGATTTTAAACTTTCTGAACCAGTTAAACAACTTCCTTGTCAACATTTGTATCATGCACTATGCATTATACCATGGTTAGAATTGGTAAGTTAAAATATCAAAAGAACTGAATTTTATTTCTGAATGATGTAAACATATTTCAGGATTTTTTTTTCTTGTAGCATGGTACTTGCCCTATTTGTAGAAAGGATTTGGGAGATCCGAATTCAGCAGAAATAAATACGGATACTGTAGGACGTAGTTTGGTCGCCCTATTTAGGTATGTTACATACGTATACACTTGCCGACAAAAGTTAAGAAACAAATCAATTTCACATAATTTAGTTAATATTTATCATTATATAACGGGGATAAATTAATATTACTTATACTATGAGAAAGCTACGACTTCATAGATTAGAAATTGATAAAAATTATTTCTGATATACTATATAGTGGTAATATTCTGTATTTAATAACAGAAACGTGCTATTTTCGTGCAGACAAAAGTTAAGAAACCATAATCGACAATATTGTTTCTCTCGATAGGTGACTGTTTTATTGACTCTTAGTCAGTTACATGGTATAACATCAAACGTGACACAATGATTTAGTTGTTATAAAAATGATAGGTGGGCATTATTTAACAGAAGCGGAGAAACAAGTTATAATTAATATATTCAATGGAGGACAAAAAAAAAGTAGACATTGCTAAAACGTTTAATGTGAATCGTTGTGTAGTAACAACAATTGTACAACGATTTCAACAAAGTAATACTGTTAAAACAGCATTGCGGAGCGGTAGACCTCGAAAAACCAGTGAAAGGATGGATCGTAGAATTATAAAATGTTCAAAAATTAATCCATTTTATAATACTACACAAATAAAAAGTGAATCGAAACTTTGACAAATTAGCACCAAGACTATAAGTCGTCGATTGCGTGAAAATAATCTGTTTGCATGTAAAGCAGAAAAGAAACCGTATATTTCACCAAAAAACAGAAAGTCACGATTAGAATTTGCTAAGGAGCATATTAATTGGGCAAAGATTTTGTGGAGTGATAAAAGCAAGTTCAATGTGTTCGATAATAATGCTAGAAACAATGTGAGACGACCGCTTGGCAAAAGGTTTAATATTAAATATCTCAAACCAGCAGTCAAATTTGGAGGTGGAAATGTCATGGTATGGGGTTGCTTTTCGATTAATGGTACTGGTCCATTGATCCAAATTACAGATACTATGGACAGATTTTTATATCAAAATATATTACAAAATCATATGCTAACGTTTGAAAGAGAAAAATTGTGTGTTGATTGGTCATTTCAACACGATAATGACCATAAAAACATGCTTCCAAGTTAGAAAAAGGGTTTTTAGCAGACGAAAATGTTAATGTTATTAAGTGGCCCAGTCAGTCACCAGATTTAAATTTTATAGAGCACATGTGGGATTATGTTGTACGACAATTAAAAACGCAAATGTATAGCAACAAAGACGAATTAATGCAAAAAGTAATAAAAATATGGTCCGAAATCCCAGTAGAACTTTGTATAAAATTAATAAAGTCAATACCGTCAAGATGTCAAGCAGTAATACGATCCAAGGGATTTCCGACACGTTATTAATGCGTTAATAAAAATTTGCTCTTTTGTATTTAACTATACTTATTGTAAAATAAATATTTCTCAACTTTTGCCTCATTTAATTTTGGTCATATTTATTTCTCACGCTTATATCTATCAAACTAAGATAGATTTAATATATTTATGTATTTATACTAAAAATGATATACCTTTCATATTTTGTTTATTTAATAGCATATAGAAGTGAAAAAATAAAACATATGTTATAGAATTACCGAGCAACTGCTTTGTTTCTTAACTTTTGTCGGTAAGTGTATATACGTATATATATAACGTCTATATAATATATATAACGTCTATATTTTAACTGAAACGTAGCAATTAAATTTCGCTGATCTTAAATATATTTTCTTTGATGCATCGAAATATGAAATATACGAAGACGTCAATATTCGTTTCGATGAATGTAGAAGAAGCAACAGAATGTATTTATTTACTTTTAGGGCAGCTAATGAATCAAATAATTCCAGGACACCTACACCGTCGTCAAGTGGGAATAACACGAGTAGTAACACATCAGCATCGATTGGAAATAACTCTGGTAGTAACACGTCCTCGTCGAGTGGAAATAATTCTGGTAGTAACTCATCGAGTGAGATTTCAGATTGATTATGCTGTCTTGATATTTTCTCTACATAGCAGGACACACAAGTATACACACACAACACACGTCTATTTTCCACTTTTTCAAATTTATTTTTCGGCACTGTTCACTCGAGCAATGTTTATATATACTTCGTAAATATTGTATCTCGACGCTAATATAAATTTCCAGCTTTATACTTTAATCAATAGTGTAATGTAAATCATAAAGAAAATAATGCAGTATCAAATTACAATTTGCATGTGTTGCTTCGCATGAATTATAATGAGGTACGGTCATTAAAAGTCAAAGAAAGACGTATGTATTTGAAGTTGAAATAATCCTTGTTGCTATATATATATATTATATACATACAAA